TTTGTGGGAAAAGTCATCTTCCGCAACCTCCAATCTATCAATGGATTATGTTTTTCCAACCAAGAAAGACCAAGAATAATAGGATTTGATGAGGTTCTAATAATATTAAAAATAATATGACTACTATGTTCTTTAAACGTTACTTCTATAGGTTTTGATTCATGGGTGATGCTACTAGACAATAAAGGTCGCCCATCTATGACCTCAACATGAACAGGTTTTGATTTTTGTACTAAAGGGAGCTTATGACGCTTTGCAAATTCTTCGTCTAAAAAACAAGCAGATGCTCTTGAGTCTAGTAGTACTAAGGTTCTCAATTTTTGAGGGCCGATAAACAGAGGGATTGTAAAACAAAGTGCAGGTTGGGCAGAAAGAAAGGAACCTGATTGTTGTTGGGATATTTCATTGTCCAGCCGCACGGTTCCTACTGTGGCTGGGCATCCTTGTTTTCCTGAACAAATACTCCCCTAGTCTTGACTATGCCTCGATTTTGCTTTTTGGGGTAGTTTCCAACTTTGTGGCCTTCTCCACCGCAATACAAGCATAAATTTTCCTCCATACGTCGCTTTTATTCTTCTATAGTAAGAGATTTGATACGTACCGCATTAATTTGCATGTCTTCCACCTCTGAATACGAATTCACACCGCTTGCCGACATAGTTGGAGCATGGCAAATTGTATGTTGTCTTGAGCATTGGTCTTGGCGACGTTGGAATAGGCGATTATCGCACTTCACAGCTTGGCTAATAGCTTCATTGAGTGTTCGTGGATCAGGAAGAGTTAACAGCAAATCCTTCACATCATCTCTTAAACCCCAATAGAATTGACTCATCAACGCTTCTTCATCCCAATTGATGTCGCATACTAATTGCCTGAAATCCGAAGTATAGATTGATGTAGAACGCATCCCTTGTCGTAGCGACCGGAGCTTTGTTGTAGCCCATCGAACCTTATCGTGTTCATCAAATGCTTCCGCAAATGCTTCCAAAAAGGTTTCGAAGTTGTTTAATATGGATGATCGTTTCTCAAACAAAAGAGCAAACCATGATAGAGCATGTCCCGTAAGTAAGGTTCCAACAAGCCCAACACGTGACTCCTCCGTTAGATATCGTTCGGGCTGTAAAACTGTTATCAACCTGATTTGATTGACGAATCCTCGAAACTTGGAATGTGTTCCATCAAACTTATCTGGAAGGCTAACTCGAGGCTCCTTATGTTGTAGAACTAGTGGTTCTTCTCGAACCTGAGATAAAGTTGTTTCTCTAAGTGCCAAAATTTGAGGCTGGTGTAGTTTAGATTGTGCTATCCCAGATACTCCATCATTATGAAGCCTTGCCACCACTCCTTCAATCTCTGCAGTTCTTTGTGATAACGTAGCGAGGGCATTCATAATAGCATCTAAATTAGACTCCAAACTTTCTGTCATACTAATGTCTTGACCTCCGGCCATTCTAAAAGAAGGACAAAAATGACCCTATAAGAGGTAATATTGGTTTATAGGAGGATAATCCACAACCTATAAAACGCCTTAAGAATTTCAAGAAGAGGGGTAATCCACTCTCTCCAAGAAGAATAAGACTCCAATATTGTAACACAAGAAGTATCAGTTTAGAGGAGGGTAATCCGCAACCTCTAAAAAATGCTAGTATACCTTCAAGTAGAGGGATAATCCACACTCTACTAAGAAAGAACTAGCTCTGATATCTCAAGTTAGTGTAGTTTCGACAAACTGTCATGGACACAAAATACAGACTTGAAATCTAACAAGAAGTTCAAGAAGAAATGACAGAACTAGATTAAACAGATGAGTATAAGAACAACACCAGAAAGGTGAGCTAGAACTCCAAGAGATGTGTTGTCGAGACTGAAGAACTCTTCAGCCTCAATCCCTATATATATTCCTACTTAGGAAGCTTCTCGAGCTACTTCTATTAACTAGGAAGCTTCTAGAAGGTTCCAGAGGCTTCCTTTCTAGAAGGTTCTAGAAACTTCTCGAGCTACTTCTATTAACCAGGAAGCTTCTAGAAAGTTTCAGGGGATTCCTTTCTAGAAGCTTCTAAAAACTTCTCTTCTAGAAGATTCCAGAGACTTCCTTTCTAGAAGCTTCTAGAAACTTCTCTCTAAAAGGTTCCAGAGGCTTCTCTTCTAGAAGGTTCTAGAGGCTTGTTTTCTAGAAGGTTCTAGAAACTTCTCTCTAGAAAGTTCTAAGGAATATGTCCCTAACAGGTAGCATGTCGACATTCTTCTTTTGAAACACGTCTTCAAAATCCTTATATTGCTCTAATATATTTGTTGTCAAAATCTTCTCTCTGCTAGTTGGAGTAACATAAATAATAAACGGTGTACCTTCCTTGGACGATGTTACAAACACTCTTGTTCTAATAAATAAGGGTTTTTTGATTCGAGATCTTCTAACAGGCTTACTCTCAAAATGTTCTATAGGAAATGTCATCCTTGGTAACTTCCAATCTACGGATGGATTATGCATTTGTAACCAAGAAAGACCAAGAATAACAGGATTTGATGGGGTTTTAATAATATTGAAAATAATATAACTATTATGGTTTTTAAACGTCACCTCTATAGGTTTTGATTCATAGGTGACACTACTAGACAATAAAGGTCGTCCATCTATTACTTCTACGTGAACGGGTTTAGATTTTCATATTAGAGGAATCTCGTGACGCTTAGCAAATTCTTCATCTAAAAAGCAAGCAAATGCTTTTGAATCTAATAATGCTAAGGTTTTTAGTTTCTGAAGGCTAAAAGATAGGGAAATGGTAAAGCAATGGGCAGACTAAGCGGAAAGAGAGGAACCTGATTGTTGTTGTGGTATTAAATTGTCCAACCGTGCGGTCTCTATTGTGGTTGGACATCCTTGTTTTCCTGAACAAACGTACCTCTAGTCTTGACGATGCGTCCATTTTGCTTCTTGGGACAATTTTCAGCTCTATGGCCTTCTTCACTATAATACAAGCATAGTCCTTCCTCCATACGTCACTTTTTTTCTTCTATAGTTAGGGATTTAACACGTACCGCGTCAATTTACATGTCTTCCACTTTTGAATGTGAATTCAGGCTACTTGTTGACATAATTGGAGCGTGGTGAGCCATATGTTGTCTTCAGCATTGATTTTGGCAACGTTGGAACAAACGATTATTGCACTTCACAGCTTGGCTAATGGCTTCGTTGAGCATTCGTAGATCAGAAAGAGATAATAACAAATCCTTCATGTCGTCTCTCAAATCCTAATAAAATTGATTCATCAATGCTTCTTCATCCCAGTTGATGTTGTATGCTAATTGTGTGAAATCTGATGCGTAGATTGACGCAAAGCGTGCCCCTTGTCGTAGCAACCGGATCTTTGTTGTAGTCCATCGTGCCTTATCATGTTCGACAAATGCTTCCACAAACGCTTCCAAAATATTTTTGAAGTTGTTCAAAATTGATGATCTTTTCTCAAACAAAGGAACAAACCATGATAGAGCTTGCTTCGTGAGCAAAGTTCCAACCAGTCCAACACATGATTCCTCCGTCAAATAGCGTTCGAGTTATAAAGCTGTTATCAATCTAATTTGATTGACAAAACCTCGAAATTTGAAACATGTACCATCGAACTTGTCTAGAAGGCTAATTTGGGACTCCTTTTGTTGTAAAATCAATGGTCCTTGTTGAACTAGAGGCAAAGTTGCTTCTCTTGGTGCTAAAGCTTGAGGCTGGTGAATCCTCAATTGTGCCATCCTAGATGTTCCATCAGTATGAAGTCTTGCAATGATTCCTTCAATCTCTACAGTTCTTTGAAATAACGTAGCAAGAGCATTCATAATGGCATCCAACTTGGAGTCCAAACTTTCAATCATACTAATATCTTGACCTCCGGCCATTCTAAGAGAAGGAAAGAAATGACTCTACAAGAAGGTAGTATTGGTTTAGAGAAAGGTACTCCGCAACCTCTAAAACACCTTAGAACCTTCAAAAAGAGGGGTAATCCACTCTCTCCAAGAAAGATAAGACTCCAATATTATAATAGAAGAAATATCAGTTTAGAGGAGGGTAATCCGCAACCTCTAAAATGCCAGCACGTTGGCTAATGGCTAATCTACATTCTAACAAGAAAGAATTAGCTTTGATATGAAAGATGAATTTAGTCTCGATAAACTATCACAAATTTAGAATACTGACTGGAAATCTAAAGAAGAAACTGAAGAACAATCGGCAAGAACTAGATTAATCGGATGAGTACAAGAATAATACTAGAGAGGTGAACTAGAGCTCCAAGAGGTGTATTGTTGAGACTGAGGATTTCCTCAGTTTCGGCTCCTTTATATACTATAAGCTAGGAAGCTTCTCAAGTAGCTTCCACAAACTAGGAAGCTTCTCAATCAGCTTCCATACGCTAAGAAACTTCTCAAGCAGCTTCCACGAGCTTGAAAACTTCTCAAGTAGCTTCTACAAACTACAAAGCTTCTCTAGAACCTTCTAGAATCTTCTACAACTTCCTAGTGTATGTCCTTAACATAGGTATTAAGAAATTTCTCAAGAAGTTTTTATATTGCTTGGAGACTAAGCAAAGTTAAGATCTTTCTTGTACAACTTCTTTAATCTTTCCATATCTTTTTAAAATCTATTAAAATCTTTTTAAAATCTTTTAGAACATTTTAAAATATTCTAAAAATATTTCTAGAATTTTCTACTAAAATATTTTGAAAACCTTTTATAACCTTCTATTGAAATATTCTAAAAATATTTCTAAAATCTTCTTATTAAATGTCCATAATAGCTACAATGAGAAGATTTACCTTGACTTTGTTCAACCATGTTAAAATCTCCACTAACTTTCTAACAACTATCTCTTGGTAATTCAACTATTAATTCTTGTTATAATATGCACCTTTCATTTGGACAGTTGAATGCATACAAATTGAGTATCTTTAAATCTTTGCATGCTAATCCACACAATCTAATCCAAATTGCCCTATTATGCACAATAATTCCATAGTTGATAACCTGAGAGGTGAATTTATTGCTCATACGTGTGCACATATCCCCTCTGCCTGGGCCTTCTGAACCATCCACATTATAACCTGGGACTGCTTCTGTTGACTATTGTCCACATTGTGCCCAAATAGATTTGCCTTAATGCTTGAATGCGATTTCCAGTTCTGTATCCCATCCCAAACTAGTATCTAAGGCAATGTAGGAACGGGGCTATGTAGAAACGGGGCTATGAAAAGATATCAGTATTTGCATCCGAAGCTAGTACCTTCTCTATACTTGCCTCAATTTCGTTAGCCACGCCATAAAACTGCCACGGTAAGCGCTTCAGGGTTTAACTATGTCGGAATTCACATACCTTTCCTCGTGCTCGGGTCGAAATCCAGTGACCACATTTGGAATATGCACATTATCTCCTCCGATTTGTATGGGGTGAGGGCGAGTAATTGCCGCGCCACCTCTTTGCTGGAGGCTTTCAGGCAAAAAAAGCCACGCCTTGTGTTGTCACTTGCCACGACTAATCCACTGCCAAGATGAGAGTAGAGATTGGCCAACCAAGCAGCAAAGGCCAGGGGAGTTAGCTTACCGCCAAGAAAGCTGGCTACAACAATGTAGTCCTCCAGAAACTCCTCTTCTGTTGCTACGATTTCTTTCGACACGTGAATACGTTTCCTCGCGCTTTTAATGAGAAATCCCGCATAGTTTCTCGTGAATCCTTCTGGCAGAGTCTCCTCTAGTTGCGGTTTGGTAGGATTAAGTGTTAAACCCTCACATTGTCTCCGAATTGCGTTGGTGGTGTCCCTATCCGCATCCAGAGGGGGCATGCAGTGTGACGGAACGAACAGCATGTGCGTACGAGTGGGCCATTTAAAATCCTAATTTAACCCTAAGTTCCTTGTCTAGTGCTAAGTGTTGTCGCGGTTTCCAGCCGAGCAACCAACGAAGACAACCCTTGAACAAACTCTAGCGCAACAAGAAACTGAAACTGAGTAGTTGATGAGTCAATCGCGCACACAAGAGCTAAACGATTGCGGCTAGCCGTCTGGATTACAACCTTCAATCGTCATAGTTTCTTGCCTTGATTCACCTACCCGGAAAACGCGGAGCCATTGCTCTCCCGTCGTACTTTTTGTCTTTTGCAAAAAAAAAAAAAAAAAAAAAAAAAAAAACTTCATATATATATATATATACTTCAACAATAATAATAACAAAAAGATTGAAAATAATAACAAGGAAAAGAAATGCACAGCTTGCACAGCTGACTCTCTCAAGCAAAGAATGTAGACATTGTGATCGTAATATTCTACATCATTGAAATTCTAATGCGTATGTTTGGATGTCAGTGATCAATGTCAGATTTCGAAACGCGAATAGAAAGTTCACGTGTTAATTTATCCATTTTTGGTGGTCTCGAGATGGGCGAGGACTGCGATGGCAGATGCTTGACTGAGTCCACAACAGCCATGGACACCGCCATTATCCTTTCTCTTTCTCACCGATTGCCTTGAAAGCAACGATGCACCTGCACGCTGCAATTTAAGATGGGTGGGATTTCAGACAAGGAAGAGTACAAGGGCATGCAATTGGGTCGGTGAAAATGCAATCCTCTTTCTTGAGTAGACGCTCAAATATGGGATTGTCTATTCTTAAAAATCCGCAGGATGCTGATGAATCTCCTCTCTGCTGAAGTTTTACTGTGGCCGTGACTGCGCTTGTAAACGCCGGCGGCTCTTTTGTACACGCTCCTTCATGCTTGACCGATGGAGTGCGCCATCTGGCATCCACTGAGCGTAAACACAACCCCCCTCCTCCTCCTATTTTTTTCTCTTGCTGAACTTCTACAAATTGGTGACTAGGAGTGACGAGTATGTTAATGTTGTGATTGAGTGAAAAAACTGGGTTGGATGTACGCAAGGCAATGATTCTTCGGTTTAGGTTGCAGTGCACATTAACAGCCAAGTATTCTCCATGACCAACGCTTTTTCTTGATTGGGTCCCAGCTTACTAGGTCTAACACGCTAATTCCTCAGCCGCGGACTTCACCTCCCTCCGCTCCAACTCCATCCGAGGGATGCGGCACATCTGGTAACTGTTGGGAATGGATTCTGGTCTAAAGACAAAGCTCAAGTGTGCGATGTGCATTGGGTCTGAAATTGATCAACATACACATCAGCATTCTTTGCGCAGGTTTCAAAAAAAAAACCCTCATTCAGTTAATGAGATGTGCCCTTCATTTGCTCCTACGTGTCAGCACTGGTATGTGACATGCCAACACTTTTGCTCAACTGCCGCATTCTTTAGTTTGATACGACTAATCAAAGAACTTGCTTACAAACGAATTGGAGCTGCATTGGATCATTCGAAAATTCTGGACCAACTGATGGACTGACTGGAGGGCCAGACCGCCGAATGTGCGGCTCCAGTCGTCAAGTATCCCCAGGTCGTTAGGAAAAACAGAGGGTCGGAGTTGTTGCAGTGCGTTATTGAAGTCCTGTAAAACAACCATAAAATCGGGAGGTCATTTCAACGGCATATCTGCAGAGAGCCAGAGACGGTCCAACATGGAAGCAATTTTACAGACGTTTCTATGATGTGATAATGCAAATTAGTGTTGTATAGACATACTATACGAGATAAATAAGAATTGCATCACGTATGTGACAAGGGTGCTTCTGAACTTACTACTTTCTAATTCAATCCTATTTTGCAGTGTCGTTTCCACTTGGTGCACGTAGCACAGAATCGGGACCTGTACAAAACTAAGCTGAGGAACCATTTGCTCCTCATATTGGGATTGTTGGGGAGCCATGCGTAGAATTTGAAATTGACATCGTAAATCCCTTTATACAAGAATAACAGAAATACGCGTAAAGTCTCTCAAGCCAATCAAAGTACTGGAAATTGAAACTCGTGTCGATGTGAAAGTGCCTCATGTGGAGGGTAACCATAACACCCTCGCAAGTTTGGACATCTATCTTCAGATTTCCTGTTTGAGTTGTTTCTACAGATCAAAAATACCAACTGCACTAAATGTTAAATAACTGAATGGATATCCTAAATAGAGTATTTATTTGTGAGCGACAAATGTACTCCAGCATTCCGAAGTTCGTGATCGGACACCTGAGGTGGATTTAAGGGATCCAAGCCCTGCAAGGCTGCCATAGACCTAAGTGAATCAACATGACGGCCTACATGCGTGTCAATAAGTGGATTGTAAAATGGACGCCTTTCAAGATCACCTGCAACTGCATAACTAGGACCTCCTTGCTGATGTTGATCTGCCAGATTTTGCCGATTTTGGTGTTCATGCATAAGTAGTGATCCCAGGCCAGAATCAGACCCATACCTGATACCACCACCCATACTACTCCTATTATAAGGATCAGTTGACTCCACCTTTATTATTTGTTGGCCGAGCATACTGTTTCCATGCAAATCTGAATCAGAATCAACCAGATACCTACAAAGACAAGGAAAAAAGATCCGATTTAGATAGGCTACAACTGGATGGATCCATATTCTCTATGACAAAGCATTCACTGTGGAATTAGTGGTTATACAATGGAATCAATGTAACACCCAACCAGTGTCAGCTCTTATGAAGATCTTGGTCTCAGCTCATTGATTACCTCGCGTGATCAGAATATGCACCATGTGATGATCTACTGTCCTGGTAAGTCAGATTTTGTCCATGAGCAGGATCATGAAAACTCCCACCCTGATGTGATGTACTCGCACGATACTGCGGTTGTAAATGGTAATGATGGTAATCTGCCTGGCCCCCTGCATGCTGGTGTCCATAGTTCTGCTGTAAAATGGAAGAAGTGTGTTGCTGTTCCATCAAGTACAATTGCTCCCGCGCTACTACAACCTCATCTTTGAGCTTGTTGACCTGGTTCTGAAGCAAGCGGATAACCCCTAGACACCCATGCACTGGATCTTTCTCTCGAGTATCAGCCTCATACACAATTGATTTCACCGTGTCCTCACGTTTTTCTGGATCCACCTGTCGCAGTATACGCAGAATACTACTCACACCAAACAGTCTGTGCACATTAAGAAATCTCTTCGGTTGATCTGGAGGAAAATAGGGAGCTAATGGACAGTCCGTTGCACATTTGCGACGCTGATACTTGCATGCTGCGCAGGCAGCATTTGCACCAGCTGACGGTCCGGATGACGATGGCCCCGCACCTCCCGTCACAATTGACCTCTCTCCTGCAAAATAAATTAGTTTTGATAAGTCACTGCCGGGAAAGGTTTTTGCACAGAAGTTATACTAGAGTTACGACCTAAAGCCCTCTCAACATAAGTCTCTTGTGAAAGCATGACCTGCTAGGTTAGGGGTTCCGCGCAACCTGGTGGGGAGATCTTCGGAGGTGCGGTCATCTTAGAAAAATCTTCGAGCGACTTTAATCGCTGCATAGGAATTTTGGCATTCCTGTAAAAGACCTGAGTCTGCGCGTAAGAATATTAAGCGCATTACTAAAACTCAATTAAAAATGTGTGTCCTGTGTTCGGCGGGTGTTATGCTGGACAAGTCCGAAGACTTATCCCTCGCGCACGGAGAATCAAGACGCACAAGAGAGAAAACTAGATAGTCATTGAAAATGTGCAAAACAATCTCCTACTGTCAGTCATCAGGCTCTAAACTGGAGCGTTGTCTCCAACAATCCCTACACCTGCATGTGAAAACGAAGCAAATGTTGGATGGCTTATCACGGTTTATCCTAACAATGCAGGAGAAAAGTTAAAAAGAAGTTCGAGACTGACGATTCAAGCCAAGCAGCTGCCGCGTCCCCTTATTAAGCCTCAGTGTGCTCCTAGATGCGGTTCCCCTACACGATTTATCACAGCACAGACAGAACGGAAGCCAACTCGCTACACTACTTGGCTCTCACACTACCTCGATTACTTCATGAGAATAGCGAAAATCAACACTCGCGAGCGGGAGAGAATGCCGACAAATGCACATCGGAAAGAAAAAGAAAAGAAAAAAAAAAAAAAAAAACCATGTGTTCCTACAAGGTGCCTCTGAGAAAGTCTCCACATCAAACCCGTACCGCCACTAACTTCGCGCCAACTCTCATGCCGCACATCTCATCGCAACATCAACTTTCTTGCGGTTAAAATTTTTCTGCCAAACCAGCGTATATATCCGACGGTGAGCAAAGAAGGCAAAATAAATGAACCAAAGAATCAACCGACCAGTCAAGATGATAAAATTAGTATCCCCTCTCCTCTCTGGATTGTTTGCTTTCTCACTGTAGCCTACTGTTGCAGCCGCAACTGGTGAGGAACTTAAGAAAGGAAAGTTGAATGAAAATCTTCTCTCTTTCCCCCTCACTCTACCCTTCTCCCTAGCTACTCTGCCTATTCTACGACGAAGATGACGACGGCTGAGGCGGAAAAGGGAAAGATAGAGTGGGACGTGTGTGGGACTGCAGTCAAGAGCGGCCCTTCCTTCGGTGCTGTCACCGCTGGCCCGGTCTTCTCGCCATCTCTGCCTGACCGCCTTGAAAACAACCCGTACGATGTGAATATCCATATCCAGCAGCTGTTTCAGGCAGATATAAACAAGACGCAATCTTAGAAGCCAGGAAGGGGTACCGTATTACTTCTCCTCACAAAAGAACCGGCCAAAACCAAACCCCGAGACACTGACAAGCATAACTAGATTATTCTCCTGCGCAAAAAATTGGGTCTGATGTGAACAGTTCACACATTGTAGCATACAAGTGTTGGTCGGGTTCGGAGATGCGTATCTTTGTCACTTTATGGCATCTTTCGACAATAGACTATGATGATTTCTTGGATAAAAATTTGTTTAAGAACCTGTGCTGCTCTTACCGCAATGTTCCATAATCATAACGCTTTTAGATCCGTGATTATGGCTTCTGCCGCTCTAATTTTGGTGCCTTTCGGGGACACAAAACTTTTTAAATCAGTAATTCGGCGAATTCGGGCCCAGCAGCCATTCAACGAGAAAAACAATCGCTGCCCACAAGTTACAGAGGAATTTGCCTTGATGTGGAACCATGTTGCATGCATTAAGTGATCCCCACTCTCCTTTAAAATAACTTTTAATTGCAGGATCCATCATGGTATTCCCCGTTTACTATTCCTTCCATATTTAGACTTCATGCTGTGCAAATAGCCATGCTTTTTGCACACTGACAGAAGTTTGAAGTGCACATGAACAGCCAAGTATTCTCCATGATCAATGGTTTTTCCTGATTGGGTCCCAGCTTACTAGGTCTAACACGCTAACTCCTCAGCCGCGGACCTCACCTCCCTCCGCCCCAACTCCGTCCGAGGGATGCGGCACATCTGGAAACTGTTGGGAACGGATTTTGGTATAAAGACAAAGCTCAAGTGTGCGATGTGCATTGGGTCTAATATTGATCAACATACACATCAGCATTCTGGAAACGAACACACCAAGTAGTACCAAGGGGAAGGCAAATGACTGCAGAGCCATTTCGAGTGCAGTCGCCAAGTAGCCTCATCAAGATCCTGAGGTCTATTTGTTATTATAAAAGTATCAATGAACAAATGATGTCACACAGAAACAGCTGAGTGCTATCAGTCAAAGTGCTAACCTGGTGTATCACGTGAGGTACATTTATTCTTTGCACACGTTATAAGTGCAGAGACTAAAGAACAGAATCACAGATAATCATGTCAATGCCAGTAGCGAACTTCTTACAACTTTTAGTAAAGATGCCTAAGAGATCTTCCCCGATAACACTTATATAACAATGCTGAGCTAGTTCTCGGATTCTTTTTTTGAGGAACCAAAATTATAAACTGGAATTAGCAATTAGGAGGATTTGTTCACTAACGCTTCCACAACCCTCCATCTCAATCAAAAACTTAGTCTCCGATCGTCTATTAGACTAGTGTTCTCCTTCTGATTTGCGCTGCGTAGGCATGAAGAACCAGTATTAGGCCTTAACAAGAGAGGATGGATTTCTCTGTAATTTATTTCTCAGCATGCTCTCGTCCCTCGTCAGACATATCATGTGTGGAGTAAGATCTTAGTTTAATTCAGTACTTAAAACAGCCTATTTGAAAGTCATTTGGGAATGAAAGTTGCCTTCAACACTCCATAGTTTCCAGTGGACGTGCCAATTTCTGTTTTGCTGTTACAAAAGTAGCTGGTGGATGTTGATTTGGGAAAAGCATCTTAGGTTCTTCGAGACCTCCAAGGATTTCTTTTTTCATTTCTCAGGCTTTCCATTGGCTCCATAAGAATTGTTTGGTCTTTCGCGGCTGACACCGTAAGAGTCGATTTTTTCCCTCCAATTCAGAAGAGGGCAAACACTCATTATCTTTAATCTCTTTGTGATGTTACCACTTCAAAGCATATGCATAGGCATAGGCAAACAATATTGTGAACTTCATCGTTAACCATCCAGAAGAAAGTTACACCTTCAAAAGTATGGATGCATGAAGTCTTGAATACTCACAAGCACTATCAAAGATTCAGTAGATGATCAGGTTGCTGCAGCATTAACCAATGCAAACTTCAAAATTGAGAACCAAGAAAGAAGACACCAAGCAATAAACCATGATGAGGTTGTCATTTTAACTTTCGCCTGAGAAGCATTTTCAGCTACGTGCTGATCTCAGTAAGTTAGATCAGCAACAGAGACATTATAATTCAGAAACTGGATGACGTATGTATGTCCACTCTATCAAGTAATCACCGCCTTCGATGGACTTTAGACAAGAGTGCCAAGTTTTATTACTAATACGTGTCTACTTGATTGCGCAATGCCGCATACTAACGTTACTTAAAGGAGCACACCTGTCAACTAAAGTTTTTTGGGAAGCTGTTACAATTTTCTCCAGATCCTGCTTCTTAATTGGCTCAATACATGCAACGTCCTTAACTGTCTCGAATTCACACTCTAATAAATCCATGTGTCTTCTGCTCTATCGCCCTCTTCGCGAAATCAATCGAGACGATGCCAATTTTGAGATATCTCCCATTCCCAACCACGCACCTTAGCTCGTCTCCACTTGCGCACAGGCCCCCGAGATCGTGCAGAATCGTCACTGTGAAGTTAGACTTGACCAAGAAAAATACCCAATAAGAATGAGAATTGAATTTGTTGTCTTCGAAGCCAATTTGCATACGAATGCACTTAGCCCGAGGGTTTGAAAAGAAGGCATTGAAAATTACATAAAGTCTGTGGATAAAGGTGACGACGTAGATTGTGTGCCTTCCAAGGTTACCTTCTTCCAAAGCAATTGACATGGGAGAAGCCGATGAGCTTAAAGGCGCGGTAAATGAAGGATGGAACTTTGCGTGGAGATGTCGCGGTCGTTTCGCCATCGTTCAAATCGCTTCTAATCAAGCGGCGATACTCCAACTTGATGCTCCTGTAAGATTTTTTTTTTCTTTATCAAACTTGCTTTTCACTTAATAATTAGGGTGTAAATGTTATGCGCTACTTAATACTAGACCATTTTTTTGTCCACATTGAGGATGTTGTTCATGAGAGTGTCTCAGTGTCAATCAGGAAACAAATAGAATAGTAATTGTGACAATATAAACAGTGGTCACACATCATTTTCTTTTTTCTGTTTTTTGATCTGAACAATGTGTCGTTGCTTCCAGGATAGCACCAAAGTTTTGACTGTAGTGTCAGCTATAAACGGCGTGAATATGTGGAAGCAGAACTATCTGATCTGGAAATTACATGATGCGGAGATCTTTGAGCTGAACTCGCATGGTATCACAAGAAATCATATGCCCGATTATCATGCAATACATGAATTATTTGACAGAAGACCACGAAAATCTTAAGGTGATTCCGAACCCCAGTCTTTGACTTGTGCAGGACTAAAACATGTGGCAAAGATTGGCATAGCGGAAGGTGCATTCCTGGCAATCCACAACTGCTTCGTGTTCATGACTACGCAAGATGGAGTGGAGGTGTTGTCACTTCAGGTGTAACTTAAAATTAGTTTAACCTAATGTACAACAATGCTTGTGGATTAAATTTTGAAAAAATAACTCAGAATATTCAGTGCAATGAAATGTTACTCCGCAGTGTTGTATTTGAAGTTATTTGAAGCATTTGAAGCTTCCACAGGAGGAATTCCACAGTAGTACTTCCACTTCATGTGTAGCAGTTCTGCGAGTGGTTTTAGTAATTTGATACACTCACTTTTCTGGGAAAATCGCCGGCGTTTTTGCATTTATTATCTGTATGTTCGGATGATCAAATTCCGATGGCGCCCTCACAGAAACTGCATTTGTAGTTGCGGTTTGAGGTCTTAATCGGCGATCGATCCTAAACCCTAATTTTCAAAACTCTCGAAATGCAGTGAACACTCTCACTGCAGATTTCCTAAATTGGCCAGGTATTCTGTCGATTGCAGGGAGAGCATAAGCAGCTTCTGGTGGTGGATCATTTCCAGGGAAAATCCTTGCAACTTGAAGTTTGCGAGGAAGTTCTTGTTGCAGTAACCAGTGAGAACCGAATCCGTTCGTGGAAGATTGAACGGAATGAAGTAAAGCTTTCAGGACTTCCGTCTGGTCGAAAGGTGAATTAAAATGAAGAATGTGTAGACTTGATCACGTTAAATGATATGTGTCGCGATTCCGTATCGTCGAGACATTTGATCAAGGCTATGTGTGCAAGTGCTTCGATTTTGATGGAATGCCCCTGGACTTGAATCAGGTGGATCAAGTTGAGAAGATTCAGTCACTTCGGTGCAATTGTGACGGGACCAAGATTAGCTTCTTTGCAGAGTCGCCTAAGGGCGATGGAACAGAATCGAAGCTTTTTGTGTACGATGAATATTTGGATAAATTCCTCTGCTACGACTTTGGAGATAGGAGGCCAGTTTCACATTATTGGGATGACGAGGATTGTAAGCTCCTTGCGTGTCACATAATTTGCTCTGAGGTAAGTAGAGGATGCATTACAGTCACTAAATCCATTTGATGCTGCTTGTATATGGACTGATTTGATGAATTGTTATTAGCATGTAATACTCGTTGTCTCCAATTCGTAGTCGGCTTTTTCCACGAAGAGCTTAAGTAAGGAGTGGCTATTAGGAGGAGAATTCAAACGAATTGGGTGAGAAGGAGACTGCAGCGTCATTTATTTTCACCTTCTTCGTAACATCGGACTATCCGCAGGGAATTTTCGAATATGAAAAGGTATGTGCAAACGCATCGTAAGTATCTTGACTGTACTTAGAAGTGAATCTATACTTCGAGCTGAATCAGACAAAGTTTCACTCGTCAGCACATTGCTTCGTAATTCATGTGAAGTGTTTTGGAATCTCACAAGCTCGTTCCTCATACGAAGCAGATCGTGCTTCTCGACGATCAGCGTCTTCTTGTCGGAGTTTCCATCCCATATCTTATGTTTTATACTGGAGCTTCACGTCCAAGTTCTGATGAACTTGCAGCTCCTGGATCCTTCGAGATGAAAGTTTTTCGAGATTATGTTGGGCTAGTAAGTGAAAGTTTTCTTGTAGTTAACAGTGAGCTTGTAACTTATCATAATGCTAGCTGTAGCATAATATATGACCTCTAATTATGTAAACGCACTGCCGATGTCACATTTATCATATGTAACTAATCAGTCATCTTAATCGAGTTCATGATCCTCAAACATGTTGTATTACAGGAGGGTGCTGACCAGAAAACTAAGAAAGGACTGTCTTATTTCAACTACAATTTAGTCTTAGGTCCAGTTATGCTGGTGGCAGCATACCAATCCATCGCATGGATCCAAGATCATGCATTCTGGAAAGCACTTGCCGCCATTTGCGTGCAGACTAAACGAACAGATATAGCAGCCTATTGTTTTGGTCGCATGCAAGATGCCTATGGAGCCGAATTGATCGAGGAAGCTGAAAAGGAGCCGGTAAGCATTCTACGGCACTTGTGTACGCATGCCATTCTATCTTGGTATTTCTTAAAACTGATCGATGAATTCGATAATGAACTGAATGGATCCGTCATTTGGACGCAAGTGAGCCAAATTAATTTTACATGACCAATTACAGTGTTGACCTTACAGGAAGAAGATGCAAGGGTTGCAATGGTGGCGCTTCAATTAGGACAGATTGATGATGCAAAGCAACTTTACGCAAACTGTAAACGATATGATTTGGTAAACCGACTACACCAAGTAAGGAACCTGAACATGATTCTGTAATAACAAGTTTTTCTCTGCAATCTGCTTTGTATGTGTACAGAATATTCATAATTCATTATTCTACAAATCTATTGCTTGAATATTGAAGCCTTCTCTGACCTATATTCCCAAAATGTGCAGCTTTGTTGTGAATGGGAGAAGGCATTAGAAGTAGCCACAAAAAATGATCGCATCCATCTCAAAAATACACACCACTCGTACGCTAAATATCTGGAAGCAAGGGGAAATTATAAGGATGCAATTCATCATTTTGAACTTTCAGGGTCGCATAGGTGAAGCACTCTAGTTTCTATTGAGAAACCCATCCACCCTAAATATAGAAATATGACTTGATTCACTCTCAACAACTGCCGCTCTTAAGCGGTATGATCATGACATTCCTTTCGCAGAATGCAGGTATGAGGTTCCGCGCATGCTCTATGCTGCTCAGCAAGTTGAAGAGCTGCAGGATTACATTGACAACAGCTCCGACCCAGCATTGCAGCGTTGGTGGGCTCATTTTTGTGAAGCCAATGACCTTTTATCCGAAGCTATTGAGTACTATATTGCTGTATGTCAGCCTCTGTTTTTTCCTACCTGTCATTTTAACATTCGGTTGTTTTACTAACAATTGGGACAAATCCACTATTCGGTAAAAATGACTCGGCATATTATGATGACACTTGGTATAGCTCCAAAAAAATAGAATCCTCTCAGTTAAGAGAATTGTAATTAGTACGTGGGGTAGAATGTGTTGCGATGAAAACATCTCGACATATTGTTAGCGTATTGGAGCAATGACGAATTGGCTTTATGTGTAATTAATCCCCTTAAATGTTCCATGATTTCAACTTGTGATTCTGCAGGCTAGAGATACATGTTCTCTAGTTCGAGTATATTGCTATCAGAAGGATTTTGAGGCAGCTTCTGAGGTCGTGACTTCCTCTGGAGATTTTGCTGGTGCCTTTCAGTTGGCTCGTGAGGTAGAGAGTAACGAAGATACTTCAGAAATTTGGTATTGCAAGAAAGTTACGACAAATTGAGAATGTTGAGTATTTATAGTGCCTTAATGTGCATATCAAGTAGTTGCTACCCTTTTGAAGCATGTCTCTCATAGTCGTTAAAATTCGAAACTCGCGTTGAATTTGATCGAACTTGCCTCTTCAGTACGAGAAAATTGGAGACATCCTTCAGGCCATACAGTTCTTTAAGATGGCCGGAAAGTCAAGTTATGCTGCACAGCTGGCCATGAAGACTGGCATGGATAGCGAACTGCTGCCATTGTCTCTTCAGGTAAACCCCTTCGCTCCACTCCTGGAGGTTCTAGCGTAAACGACATTCAAGTCGAGAATCTCACCATTATAGAAACAAACTAATTCCTTTACGTCTACATGCAACATATTTGTTTTTTATTGCCTAACATATCGTTTGAGATTGACCTCGATTAAGTAAGAGCTGTGAATCTGGGCAACCTTCATCAGAGTTCCAGGGAGATGATGTTTGTCTCAGCAAGATACTTCCAGAAGAAAGGAATGAATGAAGAGGCTGCTCTCCTATTTCAAAAGGTTACTGAGTCCAAAATTTACTGCAAGCTAGTTCAGAAACCCTTGTTCCTTTTGTCATTTCCCTACAACGTAGTACAAATGCAAACTGCCTTCAAGATTGTCAAACTCTTTTTCAGATGTTATGTATCAGTTGCCATGACGGCATCCCGAGGTGTGCCGTAGTCGATGCGAGTGTGTGCAGGAAGGAGAAATCCACCGTATTTTCTATCACCTATAAGGATACGGTGCTGAGATGGGATGGCCTGAAAATCAGTTGTACTATATTTGCAGGGTGGAGATTTGGGAACAGCAATTGATATCTGTTTTCGTTCTCAATTATTTGATGCACTTAGGAGTATTGCTGAGGGTCTTGATGAATCGGCGGATCCCTCACTACTTACAAAGTAAGAAGCTTCACGAATGATTTTGCAAAGCTGAGCATGAGATCGTTTCTTAGGGAGAGCTTCAATCATGAAATATCAGAAAGTTTAGAATATTCTTCATCTTTTCTGTGATCGTTAAACGTAAATTCTGCTAGTATTTAGTTCTCTGAGTGCTTTCTTCTACAGATGTGTTTGTTGTGTCTTTAAATAGCCATCTGAAACAACTTGAATGATTCGGTATTGTTCTGTTAGTTGTGGAGATTATCTCTTGCAGCATAAGCAGTTTGACAAAGCAGTGAAGCTGTTTATTGCAGCCAAGCTATACCACAAGGCACTTGATGTTGTATGGTTCTTCTTTCCTTAAATAGTCGTAGGCTCCCAGATCACGAGTTAATTGTGCCTCACTCAGAATTTGTTCTAAATGTAACGCAACTGACCTACAAAACATCCTTGTCCGTTAATAACGGTCCTGCCAACTGTTGTGGTAACATGTAGTGTACAAAAGAAGGTATTACCATCACGGGGGCGATGGCGGAAGTCATATGCCCTAAAGGTGATCACAGAAAAGATGAAGAATATTCTAAACTCCTAATGCGTCTGGCAGCGTCTTGTCTCGCTCAAGGTTCTTACCACCTTGCATGTAAGAAATATACTCAAGCTGGAGATCGCGTGATGGCCACGAAGGTTACGTATCCTTCTTTGCGTTTCGTTTAGTTCGACGCTCATAATTGAGAATTCCAACCAATTACCATTGCAACCTTCTAGTCAACCATTATGTCTTAATTTAACATAAAACTCCTTGATATATCGCATGAAGCGTCCATGTGAACAGAGCTTACGCTACTCATGTCCTCTTTCACTGTACTAGAACCAAGTAAAGAATTTTCGTATGTTCCCTTGTTCGCTTTGAAGAATGTCATCCTTTTCAGGCTTTATTGAAATCTGGAGACACGGAGAGGATCATTTTCTTCGCCCATGTATCCAGGTGATTTGAACTGCATCTGGGATTGATAGATGTCTGTCTCAAACAGTCTTCACGTGCGGAATTTGACAGTTTGTTAGGCTAGCTGCAGACAGAAAGAGATTTTTGTGCTGGCTGCAAATTATTTGCAGACTCTTGATTGGCACGGCGATGCCAATCTCATGAGGATCATCGTTCAGGTATCTCACACCACCCCTCTCCTTCTGGGGAACTTGAGTACATTTTGGCAAGAATTTTCATGTTCAATGCAACAATCAAAACTCTCTTCTTTCAGATGTATACAAAAGCTGGGGACACGACATCACTAGCATCATTTTACGAAGCATGCGCTCAAATTGAGATAGACGAGTTTAGGGATTACGAGAAGGTGCGTTGTAATTTTTCTGACTTTGTCGGCAAATTGACCTACGTTCAATATGTTGTAAAATTTAAGCTCACAAATGAACCTTGATGGAGGGGCACCTTTTCTCTGGGGAAGTTTTAAAAGGCATCATTTGTGTATTAAGGTTAGTTAGGAAGGTGTTTTTTTCCAGTTCATGCGACTACCTTTAATGTATCTTGCATAGTTACCTATGTTAGGATATAATTATACCCCTTTGATAGAAGTTCAGGCACTAGGAGCCATGTCAGAAGCACTGAAGTATCTTGAAAAAACTAATAATTCCGACAAAGATGATCAAGTAAAATCATTACAGACCCGCATTTCAGAAATGGAGCACTTTGGACAGGTAAGTACATACAGCATCTTCAAACACCAACTGTTGAATAGCACCACGATTGCTTCCTTACAAAGCCCCTGTTTGTGCTTAATAGGTAGTAATCTCACAAGTCTCCTCAATTCCACAAATGGCTTCATAACACAATGAAACATTGAGGGTTACAGATCCAGTATTAATAAGAATGTTGGCGACTTTCAGTGACTAGACTTACCTTTCAATTGCATGCTTTTGTCTTAGATCCGCAAGATGGCAAAGACTGATCCCGCAGGAATGGTGAGGGCTTGTAGGGAGCTCCTCGTGCAGGTGTCTCGCAATAAGGGAAGCCCCCAGGTATTATTCATGGTCTTATGCATAAGAACTTTTGCCACTTCATACACTTTTAACATTAAAACTAAAGGCTTGATTTCTGCTGAAATGTTTCGCAACAGGCTAAATTCAGGGGTTCACTAATCTTGCTTTATCTCGTGTTATTCATTGTTGGTAAGCAGGCTGCATTGCGAGTAGGTGATTTGTATGCTCTACTTATTGAGTTCTACTTCCGTCAAAGGAATATGGAGCAGGTCGTGTAGCAATCATTTATTCATGCTTCTATCATGTGTGTTCATGTGTGATATTTTTCTTTGATGGTCTACTCATAATCTTTCTGCGTTGTATACTCATTTAATCAATGTAATTGCAAGTAAGTATTAAAATTAGAATAATTTCATCCTTGTCAAAGAAGAAACAGCAAGAAAACAATTCAGTTACTTGTTTTCAAGACACTTTGGCTTGCACCAAAATTGGATTCTAGAGTACCTCTGAAATTACTGATCATTCCTTGTGTGGAGCCCTGCATAACCACCGGCAGGCATATGAACTGATTGAGGAGATGCAATGTCAGAAAATTCCTCTAAGTCAATATATTGACCAGAGTACTGTGGAATCTATCTACAAGGTAGGATTTCAGCAGGCCACAATCATCATTTCTTTATTTTCTGGAGGTATTGACTATATGAGATGCATCGATATCTCTTGATGAGTGCAATTAACTGCAGAATATTTTCATCCGAAAAGTATTTTGCAGGATATATAGCCAGGTAGAAATTTTTTAAATTAATACCTGCATACTCTAAGCTTGAGCATGGCAACAGTGTAATCCTTCTGTTTGTTCCAGGCTCTTGGGATAGAAGCAGCAGAGGACAGCCTTAGTGAAGGCATCAGTGAAGAGATTGCCAGCCTCGATCGAACTTGATTTTCATTCCAAGGTTGTTTAGAGTAAAAGTTGAAGGTTTTCACCGGAGATGATGAAGCGCCTCAGGACTTGGAATGTAATTGTCGGACCTCAGAGTGATTTCTTGACATTAAAACAGCTTTTTAGCAAAGTATGACCAAGAACCATGGAACTGAATCCAATGATGGCAATTGGATAAGCCATTTTGTTAAATGACTCATAGCTGTAAGGTCCAGTGTGTTGTGAGAGTCATCGAAAGTATAAATATCAATGCAGGAGTTCAATGGCAGTAGGCAGTAATTTTTCGGGCATGAACTTCTCTAGCTGATCCCATAGTTTGGGGCTGTTACCAATCTACCATGCAATGACTGAGATCTTGCTCTCTGCAAACATATAGTAACCTCCAATCTGAACCTGCTTCACGTTCATGTGAAGACTAAAGAGCGGGCTAGGCAATGTAACTTTTCCTTGAAACGGCACGAAGAAATTGTAGCTTGCTATTGTGTGTGTCAGGTTCGGAGACAAAGTTGCCCAATCAGGATCAAAAACCAAGTTGACCGAACTTTGTACTAGAACGTATTACAAGTCTTGACTAACCGTTACACACAGCATTTCTGGCTTCAAGAAGATAGTGATATGCTGAGTTCCGGATCCTTGAGTTGATCTGCATTTTTACTGACAGGCTAGACACTGTTCAGCTCTGCGTACTTATTCCTCTGAACTCATAGATGTAACCTCGTGACGGGTATACACCAAGTTCGATACATAGTTTCGGATCACCTCACTCTTGGGGCGTCTATGTCCACCAGCTTTCGATGCTTGGATGGAGCTATGTAAATTGCAACTAATTGTTACATGGACGCTTTGTATTTTTATTGTAGGAATATTGACACATTCATTTTGGTATAAGAATGTGTAATGAAGTTTAGAAACTTGCATTGAAGGAACCAACTTGTAAGTGAGTTGGTTATATACATGGTGGCTACTTGAGGGCTATTTTACTTTTGAGGCTAACAATGTTCTTAACTATGTGGCAGTACCATTGTCATATAGTAACATGGCCATTACTTGAAAGAAGAGAGGAAATATTTTATTACACAGAAGTTTAAATGAAAATATTTGATCAAATTATCTTAATAATATAAATTATAGACAAAGAGGTAGTAAAAATTAATAAATGCTAATATTGCCTTTTTGTAGAAGAGATCTATATTTACTTTATAGGAGCATAAATGAGACAAATAAAAATAAATGAGATATACAATTAATATAAGCATCTTAAAGAAAGAATCAAAAATAGGTTTTAGAAAAAATTACTTTAAAATACCAAGAATTGATAGCTGAAGAGGACCAATTGTGAACCAAGATCAAAATCAAACCCCGAGGCACTTGACTGTACACTTACATCAATTCTAAGGTTCTTTAGTTGATCAAAAAGTAGGATTTGCAAGTAGACTTGTAAAAAGATTTTTGAAAGTTAATTTCATGTGATTCGAAGGTATATTGAGGTTTTGAGAGCTTTTCAAAGTAAGAGGTGTATTCAATGGATTTTCTTTTTAAAAAATAAAAAGAAGTTTACAAATTTGATGATTTTGTAAGTTTTGTTGCATATTTACAAGTAAAAATTTATTAGTTTATTATTAAGCTCATTCTAAATGTGTGAAAAATTTGATATCAATTAAGCAATTAAATTAAAGATTGTAAAAATTTGTATAGATTATGGCCTTAGATAATTAAAATTTAAGATTAGTGAGAGTTTTCATAATTTTGCAACATCCGCTACTTTGATTGAATCAAAAATTGATGAAAAAAATTTAGACTTAATTATCTATACACTAGCCAATTTTTGGAGCAATTGTATGATTTAATAAGGATAAATCTTTGTTAAAAGATGAACATTCAAGTTAGAGAAAGCTTATAAATTACTTATGAATTATAGTTTGGATGAAATTTTAATTGAGATCAACAATTCATTAATAGTTATTGAGGTTTCAAAATAACTTTAGTAGTTGATTATAATTTATGTAGGATTTGATTAGGATTTAGAATTTGAATAAGGTTTAATTAAGATATAGAATTTAATTAGGATTTGATTAGGATTAATATAAGATTTTATTAGAATTTGATTCAAGATTTTGTTTAGGATTTTAATAGGATTTATTAAAATTTAATTAAGATTTGATTAGGATTTTTTTAGAATTTTCTTAGGATTAGTTTAGAATTTCAATAGAATTTGATTAGAATTTTTAGGATTTATTGAAGATCATATTAGGATTTGATTAAGGCTCAATTAGATTTTTTATTTTTAATATTTATTAAATATTTTTTTATTATATATATATAATTAATCATTAGTTTATGATTAATTTATGTTTTTTTGTAATTTCTTTGAGATTTCTTTAGAAGTTCAATTAAACATTTATTAGCATTATTATAATTTAATTGGAGTTTTTTAAAAATTCTATTATGCTTAATAAGATTTTCTTATTATAAGTTCTGTTTTACCTTCCACAACCACTTACTTGGTGCATTTTCAAGCAAATTTCATAAAATACAATACTATTTAAGCAACTTATGACTATGAGTTGTGAGTATAAGTTGTCAACTATTCTATTTACAATAGCTAGCTAGACTAAGGTACTAGGATCTTTTTATAGTATTTTGATGTGAACTAATTTTTAATAATCTTCTTTGCACAAAAGAGCTTGGATGCACTCTCTTTGTTAGTATAATCATGCTTCTATATAGTGAAATTGAAAGGTTTCTTATATTAAGAATCTTTTGTTTAAATTTGTAAGTAATGTTAATAGTGGTTCATTGCTTTCTACTTATACTTATAGATTGGTTGGTATTGTCTCTAAGTATTGGTTGCAAACATTCTTATGATTTGATCTCAGGGTTACTAAACAAAATTGTCTGTAGATGTGTTTGGCCAAAAATAAGAAGTTCAAGAAGCTTGTTTGTGTTGTTTTATTTGAAAAGAGTAAATAAGAAGTGACACAAAGAAGTAGGTGAGATTGTTGATTGGATTATAATAGAGTTTATTAGACTTGATATGCTAAGATATTTTTATAATGTGTAGAAAAAAAATAAGAAAGTATTTCATATAATAGTATATGTAGCTTAGTATTGCCTAGTACTTCTAGTGCCTTAAGTACTCTAATTTTAGAAATCTTACTTAAAAGATGAGGTGGCTTGGTTAGACTTACATGGTTCCTTCTTAGATGAGGTCTAATAAGATCCATGTATTTTAAGAAATTCTGAAATTTCACATTGCCAACATGCTTTGTCAATAAATCTCCTTTTTTTTGAAGTTGGAACATGAGTTACTAAAATTTCTCTAATTGCTACCTTTTTTTCAAATAAAGTGATATTATAGCTCAATACACTTGGTTTTGGCATATAGAATTAGTTTTTTGACTAGTTTAATTGCTTCTATGTTGTCGCAAAAAATTTAAGTTAGTTTATCTTTAATAATCTTGATCTTGTAGAGGAATACTTTTATTTATGTTGCTTCTTTTGTTGTGTTACTAAGTACCATATATTTTGATTCAATGGTAAAAAAATACAATAGTTGGTTATAATTTATTTTTCTATGAGATTGGTATTATTATTAGCTTGAATAAAAAACTTGTTATAAAGCATCAACCATTAAGGTCTCTTCTTCAATTGGAGTGTATATATCTTGACAATGTGAATTCTATTTTCCTTGAGAAGAAGATGCCACAGACTAGTATTCTATGATTGTACAGGAGAATCCTTTTGGTAGCCTTCATATAACTTTAAACATGAGTAGTTATAAAACAATTGAGGATACTCACCAAGTATGCCAAATCTAAATAAGTATTAGTATAGAAAATGAAGTTGCTGACTAATTGCTTAGTTAGTGGATTCAAAATTCATGGTGCTTTAAAGCCTCATGTTTTTGTCTTTGTATGTAGGTCTTCAATTACATTCATTCATATCTAATTTACAAAAAAAGTTTTTTACATAACACAATTGTAGTAAGGCAATGCCATTCTTGAGTTGAACAAATTATAATTCTAAATAAAGTTGCATGGTTTTTAAATTTGACATTTGGTATTGATGTTCTAGAAAGTATTAAAGTAAAAAAAACTACCTCAATGTCATCTCTTGTGAGTAAAATGATATTCCTATATGGAATTAAAATTGTGTAGAGTTTTAAGTTTGAGATAGAAAAATAAAGATTATGATTGGTCTCACTATAAGTTAATCTTAGTTGACAGAGGAAAGAATCAATGTTTGTATATCATATAATTTTTAATTACTTCAATCTATAGATCACCTTAAAGAATTTTCATTTAAGAGTTTTTTTATATCGTTGCTTGAAACCTGATTTTTATAATATGTATACTTCTTTTTACAAAAGTCTACTGAAATATGTTGATTTTACATTAAAATGCTTGATATGTAATGAGTTGGTAAGAACTATACCAAGGATGATCTAAATTATTATTTACTTTACTATTAATAAGAAGATTTCTTTGAAAATCTATTCCAATATGTTATTAGAAAATCCCTAGCGATAAAGAAGACCTTGAATTTTTCAGATTTTTCATTTGTTACTATTTTTTATCAAAACATCTATTTAGTAGTAATGGCTGACTTTTTAGGTGGGAGTAGAAGTAGAATCCATGTGTGATTAGAGATAAGTGAGTCCAGTTCTTCTCGCATTGCTTATCTCTATCTTCAATATGAAAATTCTTTAATAAAGCCCATTACCTCTGGAGTTGCTATCAATGATAGAAAATATATAGTATAAATGTAATCTTTGATATAAAAGAGTGCACTCTTGATTCTTGTAGAAACGTATTGTAATTTGATATCTCTTCTAAGTTGGTGCCTAGTAGATGCAAGATGTATTGAGGTAGAGTTGTTGAGGAGCAAATCATTGTGGTTGTTGTAGTCATTTGTGGAAAATAGTATAATATCTTAAAGGTTTTTTGATATGCTTTAGCTATCTTCTACTGACTCTTCTTTAGTTGACTCATTACTTATGTGAAAAAATTGAAGTGGTAAGCAAATGATGGTAGAAGTTTCTTTGTATTTGTCTATAGCCTTAATCTAGTCATAGCCATTTCTTTCTTATTAAATTAGAGTCTTTGAAAAAATAATAATTATTATTATTATTTTTATTTTTATTTTACATCCTATAACCTATAGCTTTTAGTATTGGAGTCATATCTTATTTGCATGCATGTCCTAAAAGTAGGAACAAGTTTGCTATTGCATTCTTCTTTTCTAATGTATAAGTAAGTTTTACAATAAAATATTCAAAGCTTGTTAATGTCCACAAATTTACTTGTATAGAGTATCAATAGTAAAAAGCCATTATTTGATTTGGAAGGGCTGATATTTATAAAAAGAGTGGTTGTATTAATTTCTTTCATCTATAAGTAACTTGAAAGAAAGACTACTAGCTATAAAATTCTTGAGCAATCAAGGATAGTTATATTTTTATGTTCAAAAATGTTGTTTT